CTTTCAATACAGATCGGATGTTACCCTGCCAAAAGGGAGCTTTCAAATTGCTCTTCTAGAAAAATGGAGGAAGCGAGACCGAACTCGGGCACATTTCGGCGACGGGCGAGGAGGGCGTTTTGCAGTTTTGTTGCTTCCCATCGACCCGTCGAGCCATCGAAAGGAGATTACCACGGAAGCCACGAAATGATACCAACCAAAGTTTGTAGAAACCATCTGTCAACTCTCGCAAAACAGTGAAATACCGTGAACATACCATTTACCATGGTGGTTCGACGGCTCGCTCCGGCTTCACTAAGAGCTCGCAGCTTTCACCAGAGTGGGACTTGTAAAGCGGGACTAGTGAAGCAGCGAAAAAGCAAAATGCCCTCCGCCACCGTCGCTGAACTCTGCTTGATCTCGTTTCCGAGTCAAGTGGGGTTTACGCTCAGTTGCGCTCTTGAGAAGTGGAGTGAACTCCATTAATCCGTCCCACCGGAAGTTGTTTTCCCTTGATGAGCTACCTCCGGTGTGACCGTTCATACCGACGAAACGCTGTGACACAGTGGACGAAACCCGTCTCGAATATGGCGATAGCTGCCTAGGCTCAAGTGAAGTAGACTCTACTTCAGTTGAGCCTAGGCAGCTACAGCTACCGCTATATTCGAGACGGGTTTCGCACTGCGCACGAAGTTGTACATAAAAATGGCCGAAAAGCACGTAAAGGACTTTCAAAACAAACTGTAGACTCATCCCGTTGTACCTTGGTCCTTGCCATGTGGGTTAATAGCAGCACTTTCTTCGCTCGACGGGCACAAGGAACGAGCTGGAGGGTTGTGGTGCCCGAGTACCGTTCCTATACGCCGCTGGCGCTGCTGCCGCCGCCACAGTATTGAACGCGCACCTCTCTTTTCCTTATTCTCTACGCGCAATCGCTGCACCGGATAGGGCGGAGCCGGAGCAGCACCTGGGTAACACTACTCACCTTGTTCCTGTGCACTTTTAAGTGGAGAATGGGACACGCGTACAACGGGGTCAAACCTTTGAAAAGCACATCCAAACTTTTTCTTCCACATGTTGCGAGGCTTTTCGTTCAGTCTAATATGTGGTTCATGAATATTCGATTAATGGTTATACAGTCCCTGTCTACTGTGGGCAGTGATCTCTATAAAAAAATCAGAGCTTGAAAACACACTTTTCTCGTCATAGGAATCCACGTAGCTTGCGTGACAATAGTTTCCCATCCCATATGTTTTGCTCACTTTGACTCTGGATCGGTCGAGACATATAACGTTCGGAAACCGATTGAGGTTTGGATTTTCCAAGAAATCATCAAACGATGCTGGATATGAATTTACTTGCGTGTGCATCTCTTTCAAAAGATTGCTCTGAAAGTAATATATTACAGACGATCATGAATGTTGAGCAGAAAAATCGTGTTGACCTATATGTAAATAGTTTGCTGTAGTGACCTAAGGGCAACTTTTGAGTTGTATGTGAAAGGGGAGTCTTATCTTTCTATGGTTTAGCCAGAAAGAGAGTACGCGGAAATAGTGATATGATGGGGATAAGTTTGAAAGGTGGCAGAAAAAAAAACAACGACTGATAACTCTTGGCGCGGGTCATTACTGTAGCGGCTACCGAAAATCATTTTACAACGGATTTTCATTCACAACTTTTTTCACATAAGCATTCCTGATATTCTTCACATTTTACTTTTTCAAATACGATTTGTTTTCGCTCACTGTTTTCTTCTGAAACCACTGTATTTAGAGGTACGATACTGTTTAAAGGTTTAGAATTTTTATTTTTCTTCAAAATTCGGAAACAGTACTTCAGCTCGAAAAAACAAATTTGCTGCATTCCCAGGCTGGTGTAAAAAAGAGCGAGCCCTCTCCAACCGAAAAAATCGTCATGAATTGAAACTAAGCCGAAGCAGTGTTGCATAATCTCAAAGGTTGCAAAGGCTATGGATGGGATACTGTGTTTCATTACCGAAGATTCCGCGCATATAGCCTCGATAGCCAGAAGATCAACTTCGAAATTCATTCGCCAGGATTAACTTTTTGTGCGGAAGAGTTGAGATAGCTCATTCCGCAGGCGATCTCAACCCCCCTCCCCCACCACACCACCTTCCATCGGGACCAAATTCAGTGCCATTAGTCAGGTTAATAGAAGAGGGGGCAATCGCAATACCATTGATCGGTAGGAGCAAGTGAAAGTAGTCCAACCGAAGAATTCTTCTTCTCCAGCTTTGTCCCGCTCTGTCAGGGGTCCGCTCGTCTTATTTTATCACGTCACTTCTCCCAATTGAATGCTTGGACGAGATGGGTTCTAACTATTTTGAAAGGCAGTTGGCACGATTAATCCCCAAAGACGAGTAGGATTGATACGCCTGGCAGGACGGAATTCCGCGCCCCTGAGAAGGCGCTGCGCAGCGCCCTTTCCAAGAAAGGTACCCTTATAAGGGCCCTATCAAGCTACAACATACCGACCCGAACGCCCTCTACGCCCGCCCGCCCACAAATGGACGACCGTTCCTGACGCTCGTATTGGTTCATTTGCTAAGCAAATTATGAAGCGAAGGGATTGGTATGAAGCGGCCGCGGTGCTGCATGAATATATGAGTACACACATGCTGCCGTATCTACCGTAACGGTTATTGACAAGATGCCTAGGGGAACTCGTCCAAAATTGATTTTTAAGTCATTAAGAACGAAGGTTTTTCTTCGCAGGATTTTGACCGTTTCACTCCGTTCTTTCGCCATTTTCCCACTATATAGCGCCCTGCTAGCATTTTAGGCCAAGTACCAAATTATCGTGCCAACTGCCTTTAAGTCTGCATGCAACGTGTCTAACCAGCGCTGCTTGGGGCGTCCTTTAGGCCGCTTTCCGGGAACCTCGAGCTCAAGACCAATCCTACGGACAGTGTCACAATTCGCGCGAAGAACATGACCATCGAAGGCGAGCTTCGCGCATTTTCTCGGCCACAGGAGCAATACCGAATCTCTTCCTTATGTCGTCATTGCGTATGCGATCCATACGCGTGACACCGGCGGTCCATCGCAACATTTTCATCTCCATAACTCCGAGGCGCGCTTCAACTTCTCTGGTCGTAGGCCAACATTCAGCACCGTATATCGCGACTGGTCGAACGACGGTCCTATAGATCTTCGATTTGAGGCGATCTGGTATCGTCTTGTCGCAGAGAACGCCAGTCATAGACCGCCACTTAGACCAGGCTGCACTCACACGCGCGCTCACTTCTGAGTCGAGACTACCGTCAGACGTAATTGTTGATCCGAGGTATTTGAACGTTGTCGTTCGCGTTAGCACACTGCCGCTGACCATATGGGGGCCGAATTCGTTTGGGTATTCGGTTTTCTTGACGTTCAATCTGAGTCCGAAGTTTGCTAACCGTTTAGTCCAAGCTTGCACTTGTTCCTCGAGACCATTCTTATCCTCGCAAACAGCATCACGTCGTCAGCGTAGAGAAGCGTCCATGGAGCCGGCTGAAGATCCCGGCATTCATGACGACAACGAAGACGGGGAAAGCGGGGAAAGCGCTGAGCCTTGGTGCACCCCAACTGTGATGGGGAACCCCATCGAAATGCCTGCTGGACTTCGCACTCGACTCGTTGGGCTGAAGTACAGGATGCGTACCCACTCAATCAGCTCTTCGGGAACGCCGTGCTGCCGTAAGGCATACCATATAACTTCACGTGGGACACGGTCGAATGCCTTCTCCAGATCAAGGAAGGCTAGGTGGACATGCTTCTTCTTCTCACGATGTTTCTCCAGCAAGAGGCGAGCGGCATGTATGGCGTCGATGGTGCTACAGCCAGTCACGAAGCCACACTGGTTGGTAGAGAGCTGGACGATATCACGAAGACGCTTATCAACAATTCGCTCAAAAATTTTCATGCTGTGCGAGAGCAAGCGAATTGGACGATAATTTGAGCAGTCTGCAGGACTGCCTTTTTTCTTCCAGATCGGTACCGTCGTGCTCTCTTGCCATACTTCAGGCATTTTCTTCTCTGCAACGACCTGATTGAAAACATTGTCAACCATTCGGCAGCATGCCAGCAGTGTGACTTCCATACTTCGACCGCCACGTCGTCAGGGCCCGTTGCCTTGCCTGGCTTCATCTTCTTGAGAGCCGCCTCCGTTTCCTTGACGCTTATCTTCTGAAGGGGATGCCGTACGAGGTAAAACGCAGGGGCCGGGTGTTCATATTCCACTGTGGAAATTTCTCTTGAAGTAGTCGCGCCATCGCCTCAGCACCTTTGTTCGGTCCATCAGAAGGCGGCCCTTCGTCGTTGATGCCAAAGAACTTCTCTACATCTTCGGTCTGGTGGTGACGAGCCTTGGCAAGTCGGTAGATGTGCCGTTCGCCATCGCGCGTTTCCAGCTTCTTGCTGATATCTTCGAAGTGAGCGGCTTTTGTAGCAGCCACAGCCTTCTTTGCCGTACTTCTCGCTTCCTGGTATTTCCGCCAGTTGTCAGCTGACTTGTCTTCGAGAAACAAGTGATAGCGCTTCTTCTTACCTAGCCTGGCGTCATCTGTCCACAACCATGCCTGCTTTTCAATTCTACGCCTTCCAGGTTTCGTTGTGCCAAGTTCAGAGCGAGCGGCCTGAACTATCGCTTTGGCGGCATTCTTCCATGTTTCATCGACAGTTGTGACGGTTGGTAATCGAATGCGAGAGATCACAGCTGCCTCCTTTTCCTTCGAATGCCACCATTTGATTCTCTCGGGACCACATCGCTCTATCTGTTTCGACCTGGGCGGTGTTATCTTCAGCGTACAGATAAGCGGGCGATGTTGCGAGGCTACTGTCTCATACGGCACGGTCTTCGCGTCTGTGACAAGTCCTTGATCGCGATGCCTGACAAGAACAAAGTCTATTGTGTTCTGGCGCTCCCGCTGTAGAAGGTAATCAGGTGGGAGTCATCGACGTTACGTGTTCCATAACCGAAGCTATCATGACAATTGTAACCGTCTTTCGTTGCGCCTACGTGCCCGTTAAGGTCACCAGCGACAATTACGACGTCTTCTGACGGTACCTCAGCTGTCTTCTCCTCGAGCAGAGTCCAGAACTCGTCCTTTGATTGTTCAGTGCATCCCGTCTGCGGAGCATATGCCAGAAAAGAAATGGTACAGTCGTTGCTCGACAGCAAGAACAATTTCATCAAACGGTCGTCGAAACGTTCCACGCTAGCTATCGAGTCACGGAAACGTCGAGAGACGATTATGGCCACACCGTTAGTGGTCCTTGGCTTGCCGCAAAGAATGGCTTTGAAGCCGCGACCAATGTCTCTCGACTTGCAACTGGACCATCTTGTTTCCTGCACTGCACAGAGATCGATTCGTCTGCGCTCCAGTGCCTCTGCCAATTCACATGAACGTCCGGTCAAGGTTCCAACGTTCAACGTTGCAATACGGACTTTACACGCTACACTGCGAGACTTTTGGACTAGCCTGGTCGCCCCCGATGCCGTCCTTGCACGAGGACCCTCGCATACTTTCCACACTCGCCGGGCCATACGAGTGCGCGTCGGCTCCCGCGGACGCCGTAGCATTATCTCGTGAATTCATGTGGCATAGTTAAACATTGTGATGTGACATGGGGTGTTCGTAGGTCGGCCCGTCACGAAGGCCTGTCACCTGCATTCGGATGTCTGCGTTTTGCAGCTCGCAAAGACGAGCAGTTCCCAGTGGCACCAGTGGAGGAGCAGACTTCACCACCTTCCTCGCTACTCGCAAGTGAGAGAGGGAATCCGGAGATCGAAGATCAGAGACGCAGCCGCATTTGCCAAGGTTTCGAAGATCAGGTGGGCCGGGCACGTCATGCGTTTCGAGGACGACCGCTGGACCAGAGCGATCACCGACTGGATTCCACGGGATGTCAAGCGAACGCCTGGACGACCGCCTACGCGATGGTCAGACTTCTTCGTGAAAGCTCTGAACGAATGGTATGAAATTCGTGTTTCTCGAGCAGATAGCATTGGGCAACTCTAGCTCCTCGCGGGGACGGAGACGTATGGCCGCTGGCGAAACTTGATAATCGGCAGGAGCACAGGTAATTGTATTCTTGACTTCAGTGCTATCCCTGTGGAGTAATAGCTTTTTCGTAAAAAAATAAAGATTGCACAAAGATTGAACAAAGGTAAGTGCTCGAATTCTGATGCAGATCGTGACATTGAGTACCGCTAAGTCAGCATTGGCACACGGCCATTGGGCGTTCAACTCTTCGCGTTCGGGAACAATGGTGATTGATGATTACTGATCAATTTGTTCTACTGCAGAAGACAATCGAGCAAATGCTCTACCGGGTGCTGCGGCTAAAAAAATACAATCGCAAATAGCTTCTGAACGAACGGCTCT